TGTTAGTAATTTGTAAGCGGCAAAATTAAGATGAGAACCGCAGGCTGCATAGGAATATCATACGTTCAGCTAATCACCTTATCTGCGCCATCTGCCGAGGTTCTTGATACCCATTATTTGTCTACCCCCATACGATTAACTATGCAATGCTCAATGTTCCCATTGCAAATCGTACCATGGATATAGAGATTTGTTCGGGATAATCTAAGTGGTTCCATTCCAACCCCCGCTGTTAGATACGTTCGTGCCCATACTGTGTAACATGCCTACGTGTCCAGCCACATACCTACTTAAGGTATTCTCCAGACACAAGGAGTCATACTTCGGTATTATTCCCTTCATTCTCCATTGGCCCGGAGACACTATACCTACCATTTCATGCGTTGTGAAGCGAACCAATCGCGTACGGTTGTTAGACCCATTGAAAGATCTGATTTGCCTTCTTTCTGTGCCTTGCAAATATCCGGTTGTACTAGGACTGAGGTATGTACCTATTGCACTTGAGTTGTAATTCGTTTAATTCTACCGTAATTACTGTTTGGCTTTCTTTTTTGGTTGGACCAGGGAGTTTGTACTTGTCAGTCGAGCCTCACAACGAGTCTGGCGGTTACATAAATGGCCTATAGCCACAATAGAGTTGAGTATACAGCCACATCTGTCAACGGCTGGATACTTGGATGTTATGCAGGCTACTACTTGTAAATTGGCTAAAACAGTTTGAGGACTTTTTCAAAAGTCGAATGTAGGACAGCATGCAGCGGGACTTACTAAATATATTCTTCCTGTGATCGCGTCATAGCGGTTATCGGAGAATCTGTGATATTATCGCCTTCTTAGGCATATGGCAGACGGCATCTGCAGCACACAGTAACGATAAGACATCACTGTTTTATTGCACTTCTTATTTGTGCATCGTTCCATTTGATAACCGTATTGATGTCGTTTGCTTCCCTTTTCCTCTCTCTGTCTATTTTTTGTTGATGCCCACACTTCTGACTAAATTTATGGCTGCCATTTAGCTTCACGTTTGAATGGTAATTGACCAACGACAGTCGTATTGGTTGATTATAATTGTACGTGCGATCTTCCAACACTAGTGGAATATGGCTGTTACTCTTACATTCAATCCATGCACCTTCACAATGTTATTGCTCAGTGGGGTTGTTTCTTCATCCAATTTGTGGTAGTCCATACACAAGTGTGAACTAATGTCCGTTCGCAACACTGCAGTACTGTAACTTGAATCAGGGAACTTTGATATGCCAATTGATATCTCATGTCGAATAACTAAATGGCAGCCATTTAGAAGCACTTGTAAGTGCCACATTTAAGCTTGACAGACTGATCGCATATTCGCTTTCTTGACGCCATTATCTACTGGCTAAATATCTAACTTAGGCTCGCCAAAATTACAAGCTGCGCTAACATCTGTTTGTGTCTCGCTTCGTTCTCACTTGACAGATGGGTCTTACTACATTTCTTCTCGTGTGACACGGTGATTTTGCGGGTTGCAATATGAGGTCATTGTATCCCATCTCAAGTGTCTATACGCCCCATTGTGATGCTGCCGCCTTCAGGTAAGCGCACTGAGATTCAGACAAGTCATCAAGATTGATTCCGGAACAGCGGCAACACGATGTGAAATGCGAATCGAAATGCTTGGGTACATGTGACATTCTAGGCACTGATGAATTAGTCGAGATATGCTAGCGGTCAGAACGAATGACCAGGGGGAAATAAATAGTAACACACGACGGACTGCCTGTTGGTTCCATTACCCTGTTACCTCGCTCACCTCGGACAAGAGACGGTCATAATCGGCTCTGGTTTACCTTCCGAAACGAATAGCCTGCAGTTAATCATATAGGAGACGGCATTCACAGCACACACCAACAACAAGTCCTCACTGTACCACTGTGCTTTTACTTCCTCGTTAGAGTGAGCATAGCTATAATTCCCGTTCTTTCACCACGAACTTGAACTTAGCTGAGCTTATAAAAATCAGTGGACTTAATCGCACCATTTCCCTGCTAACTTGTAAAGTTTCTTACTCCATCTCCGTCAACTTCTTTGTGTCATCCTTATTCTATCGCGCATGCAAGCCGCGTTTGGGTACAGTTTCACTCTAGTATCATTAACCACTGACGGTGCAATGTAGTATATTTATTACACCTGCCTAAAACGGATGAGTCACAAGTAACGTACCTATATAGGGCTTACATAACTTGGTTGTATTTCGCAGTTATTTCATGTGTTGCCCACTACATTGTTGTACTCATCATGATCTATGATACCCTTGCTATCTTCTCAAGTGGAGTCTAGTACGGTGACATACCGAGACAGCGAATTACGGCATCTTCCTCTTCGTATTATTATTCCGCCGTGATTCACATCACTATGTAAGCTCCATGTTATTACTCACCAGACTATGCTACCTACATCCTGCTCCTTGAAATCGCTTTGTAGATTGCATGACCCTAGCCTGACCAGCAGCCCAATGCTAGCTGCGCTTAAGTTATAGTTTGTTTAATTGTGCCGTAGGTAACGTCTCGGCTTCGTTTCTTGATTGGACTTGGATGTTGTTACGTGGCACTCAAGCCCCAAGCGGATCTGTCGCTTACATAAATAGCTTATCGCCACAGTAGAGTATACAGCCACTTTTGCCTACGGTTGAGTAATTGGATGTTGTGCAAGCTACTTCCCGTAAATTTGCTAAAACAGTTTGCACACTCCACAGAAAGCCGATTGTAGAACAGGGAGCAGCTGAATCACTAGATGTTTTACTAATGTGATAATGTCAAAGGGGCCATCAGAGAATGTGACATTATCGCCTACTAACGCATGTAGCAGACGGCATCTACAATACACAGTAATCATAAGTCATCACTGTTTTACGATACCTATTATTTGTGCATCATTCCACCTGGTAACCATATTGATGGCATTTGCTTCCGTATTTCTATATCTGTCTCTATCCATTGTTGATGCCCACACTTCTGACTAAATTTAAGGCTGCCATTTAGGTTCACGTCCAAACGTTAACTAACCACCGACAGTCGTATTGGTTGCTTATAATTGTACGTGCAATTTTTCAAAACTAGAGGAATATGGCTGTTATCCTTTCATTCAATCTAAACTCATGCATGTATGTAGCGTTATTGTTCATGGGGATTACCGTTTTTTCTATTCAGTTTGTTGTAGTCCATACATAAGTGTGAACAAATGCCCGCTCGCAACACTGCAGTACTGCCTCTCGAACCATGGACCTTGTAGCATGTCAACTGGTATCTCTACTCGCAGCGGGCGGTGTTGCTCGTCTGCATGTTGAATGACTAAGTGGTAGCCAGTTAGAAACACTTGTAAGCGCCACATTTACGCTTGATAGACTGATCACCTTTTAACACGCGTGACACCGTTATCTGCTGGTTCGATGTCAAACTGGGGCTCACCCAAATTACAGGTAGCGCTGACATCTGTTCGTGTCTCGTTACATTACTACTCGGCAGATGGATCATATTACATTTCATCTCGTGTGACACCCTGAAGTACTGCGGGTTGCTGTCTGATGTCAATGTAGCCAGGTCAAGTGCCTCTGTACTGCGCACTAAGATTCAGACAAGTCATCAATTTTGATCCACGAACAGCGGCCACACGATGTCACATCGGAATCGAAATGCTTGGACAAGGTCATACTCTGGGCACTGATGAAACGGTCGACATATGCTAGCTCAGAGAATGGATGATGAAGAGGACCATAAATAGTCACATACGACTGCCTGCCTGATGCTTCCACATACATGCGAATTGTCGCTTGCCTCTCGGACAAGAGCAAATCGGACCGGCTCTGGGTACCCTCTAACACTAATAGCTTGCAGTTAATATAAAAGATGGCATTACGGCACACACAAGCGATAAGTTATCACTGTGTCTTTACTCACTTTTATGATACATTGTAATGTTATCAATAATATTGGCCTCACACTGTTCATCTTGTTAATAAATTCTCCATGGTGGCATCTGTTCTGCTTGCACCACGGTTGGAATAACACATCATGCATTCGCAAGTTATTGCATTTTCACCCATTTTATATCCTTTTGTGTCATATCTTTATTTGTAGCCCTTGAGACCAGTTCCAGGATTTCTTGGTAACACTACTCACTCAATTCACCTACTGCTACTGAATACGCGAAGTCCAATGCAAAATAATGGCACCCTGAACCGACGTAGTCCGTCGAGCGACATTGGTGTGTGTGTCACCTCACCTCTCACACACTGTAGGGGACCTAAGCGACATTTAACCACCACTGATCACTTGATTGTTCCCGGGTTCCATAGCACTCCACATTCCCCGTTCATGTCCCCAACTCGCCTCAACCAATATTATCACCCCAACCCCCGAACGAGCTAAATCCACCCATATCTCCGCCATCGAGATCAAGAGCCACAGGTGGCCGCAGGCCAACACGCTAAACAGTCAAGGTTGCATGCTGGAATGTGCGCACACTGCACGATCGGGACGCTAATGATTGACCTACGCGACGAACCGCATTAAGCGCCAGGGAGTTTGTGCGGTATGACATTGATATCGCAGCGCTGAGTAAGACCCGACTGGCTGCTCAAGGTAAACCGCGAGAGGATGGTGCTGGGTACATTTTCTACTGGATTGGAAAACCCGACGCAACACCACTTGAACGCGGCGTCGGATTTAGAATTACTGACCGCATGAATGGCCGCTTGACGGGGGACCTGATTATTATCAGCCCACGGTTGATGTCGCTTCGTGTATGCCTCAGACGTGGTAAGTTCGCAACATTTATTAGCACGTATAGTCCCACCACGAGTTATCCGGATGACATGAAAGATCAGTACTACTTACAATTGGCCTCTCTTACAAGGTCTGGGCTAATGAGTGATCGACTATTCCTGCTTGGTGACTTCAATGCACGTGTAGGGCGTGATGCCATTGTGTGAGCTGTGGTGATTGGCCCCCCACGGGATTGGGATAGTCAATGGAAACAGAGAGCGTTTACTTTCATTGTGTGCCACACATGGCTTGACGATCACGAACCATCAGTTCGCTCTGTGTGCTAGTGACATTGCTACATGGACCCACCCACGGAGTGCTCATGCTCACTTGCTGGACTACGTCATCGTACGTCAACGGGACGTGCGTGAAGTGCGCATAACGCGGGTAATGCGTGGAGCTGAATGTGGGGCTGATCATAAGCTGGTGCGCACAAAGTTCTACCTAAATGTCTGCAAATCATCGTACTTTCTATCGAGTATCAATCGGAGGAAAGACAACGTACGCGCCCTTACGAGTGCAGTAAAGTGACAAACACTGGAGGATGCCATAAGAATCCGCCTTGGCGAAGGCGACTCTTCGGCTTCTGTCAGCGTCCTGTGGGACCACTTGAAGAAGCAGGTAACCATTGCTACGGTGGAGACGATTAGGAGTACAAACTGTAAACGGTCCGACTGGTTCGACGAAAACAATATGACGATTGAGGCATTAGTACGAGCGAAAAACGAAGCATTCATCGCATCCGAGGTTGACCCTAACAACGCGATGAAGAGGAATAATTTTCGCCACATTCGTAGGCAGCTAGCTGGAGAGCTGCGTCAGCTTCAAAATGCGTGGTGGACAAGAAAGCCAGGCAGATGGAGTCCTAAGCTAAACACCGTCAACGAAAAGATTTCTACGACTCCTTGAAGACAGTGTACGGACCCACTGTGCAGTAAATGAAGACCTTGAAAGACTGGGACTGGCGCCGTATACACACCATCTGATAACATATTACAGATGAAGCACAGACAATTTGACTCCCTCCTGAACAATTGATCCGAGGTTGACTGGGACGCACTGCACGGGCTGCAACACCACAGCATACTATCCGCGAATGTACGAAACACAGAGAGCGCTTACTCAACTACGGAATGGGAATTGCGCTGGTGCAGATACTATACCCCCGGAAATACTGAAGAGCGGAGGACCCGTTATGATGCGAGCACTCCATCGTTTGGTGGAAGCCGTCTGGATTGAAGAGCAAGTGCCTGCAGAGTTGAAGGATGCTCTTGTGTTTCCACGGTACAAGGGAAAGGGTAGTAAGCAAACATCAACAATGATCGTGACATCAACTTACTTAGCTGCGTCGGCAAGATTTTTGCCCGCACCCTACTCAGTCGCCTTGTGACACATGTGCTGGAACCGAACGTAGCTGAAGAGCAATGTGGATTCTGCTCGGGCCGAAGCACCATCGATATGATGTTCGCAGCACGTCAACTACAGGGAAATTGTCGTGAACGCAATCAACCGTTGTATTCACCCTTCGTCGACTTCACCAAAGCGTTCGATACGGTAAACCGCGAGGCGTTGTGGCTGATTCTCTCAAAGTTTGGATGCCCTGCAAAGTTTATTCGTCTGATTGAATGCCTGTATACTGGCGTGCGAGCAAGGGTACAGTTGAGTGTACAAACTTCAGGGGACTTTGCCGTTATCTCCGGTGTGAAGCAAGGGTGCGTCTTAGCCCCCACACTGTTCAATTCCTATCTGACGGCTATGATGTCGTGCGCATTCAACGCATGTGAATACGGTGTGCATCTGGAGCATCGAATTAATGGGGGTTTGCTTAACATCCGCCGCTTTGGAGCAAGAAGCTTATTGCGTGAGACAACCATCCGTATGCTGCTGTTTGCTGACGACTGTGCATTGTTTGCACATACCGAAGAAGAACTGCAATGCATGACGACCGCATTCGCTTCCAGGACGACCAAGTTTGGACTCAGCATTAACACAAGCAAGACTGTATGCCTATTTCAGCCGGCACCGGGAGTGCAGGCCAGAAATACGGATTGCAGATGAAGTACTACAGAACACTCAAGCACCAGGCTCCGATGGCTCGGTCACGTAATGCGCATGCCAGACCACCGACTTCCGCGACGTGCGTTGTTTGCTCACGGGGGGGTGTTGATGGAAGAAGAGGAGGGGTGGCCAAGCAATGACTTGGTCGAGAGGAATGAATAACCTTACTTCGGAGCTGGCCCCCTAGTTGGGGTCCAAAAGATGGTGAACACGTTTGGTTAGATACACTTGCTGACATGGCTAGGAGCCGACCTCAGTGATGTTCCTGTTCTGCGTTTCTTTGTCCTTCCCCATCCCTTTTAGCCTCCTCCAACCACGATCTCATTTCGTAGGGTAAAACATACTAATTTTTATTTTTGCCTGGTAGCCGACTGGTTGCTTACCGGAATGATGCCTATCCATTGCTGGTAGCTCAGCTGGCATGCAACTGTTGTATTTATTTTCCTTTTTTTATGTATTGCGGTACAGTAGCTGAGGTGTTTCCCACCTCTAGCTAACGTGTATAGTGATGATGATGACTACTGAACACGTCAGCATTCTGCTATCTTGGGAGTACATCGTCAACCGACCTGCGGATCACTGACGAACTGCGCGCTCGTGTAGCGAAGGCGAGTTCGACTTTTAGGAAACTGGAACATCGCGTGTGGAAGAATCATCATCTCACTGTTAGAACCAAGGTGATGGTGTGCAAATCCATGCTTCTCTCGGTCCTTATCTATGGATCGGAAACGTGGAGACTACAGAAAGGATATCCGGTTTCTGGAACGATTGCATCAACAGTGCCTTCGCCGGATTCTGCACATCCAATGGTGGGACACGGTGCCAGACACTGATGTGATCCGCCGGAGCGAAGTGTACACCATGGACCGCATGCTACTGCTGCGACACCGCCGGTGGCTTGGACATGTGCGCCGTATGGATGCAACGAGAATCCCGAAGCAACTGCTGTATGGGCAACTGAGCGCAGGCGGCCGGAATGCAGGCAAACCAAAGTTGCGCTACCAAGACAATATCAAGGTTAGTTTGTCCAGAGTAAGTATTGACCTAAGTGTTTGGGAGGAGATGGCAACGAATCGCCGCACCTGGCGTGATCTCATCACGTGTACCGTTGCCCAAGCGCAAGAAAGACAGCTGGTGCATCGGGAAATTAAACGTGCAGCACGCAAACATCAGCTGCCGGCGGACTACAATTCTTCGGCTACTCCCACATGGAGCTGTAGTGCATGCGGCCGTGTGTGCCTTAGCCCAGCCGGTCTGGCCAGTCATCAACGAGGCCACGATGGGGCTATGCCGAACAGGTCGACTGTGAGACCGAGCACCACGGACTGACATGTGGCACTTGGTGGTACGCAACTGAGAAGGGACGGTGCACGTTAAATCGGCCAAACGTTACGCAGCGAAGTGAGTCAGAACGGAATCCCCGTTCGCTCGCAACATCGGACGGGAGGACTTTTGCACTGATACCGCACTAATTCATCGAGTGTTGCAGCGCAGCGACAACCACCCATAGTTTCTGCAAAGACGCAGGCGCTCTGTATTTGCCCTACTGGTAATCCGAACACAGATGCCCACATACGAGTGCCCCTATGCTGAGGTTTGATGTTGCATATACCATGCTTCTTCACCGCAGTTGGGCTACACTGACTTACCTCATGTTACCATATTTTATCGTACCTTACCATTACCATAGCCTCCAGACACTTTACCTATTACAGTATGCAAAAACAATGCTCCCTCGCTTTGGTGGCAAATTGGCAATCTGATGGACATGTCCAAGTTGGACGATGCATTCAAAGATAAATCGCTCCGGTTCATCCGTGAAAGTGAACAGTCCCGGCAAGTAACTGACTAGCGATTAACATGCTGATGTTGATGTTTCATGCTCTGTTTCACATGTTATCTTAGCAGGATTAGAGCTGGAATTCCCGTTCTTCATCCGCCGACCTTAACTTAGCTGAGCTTATGAAAATCAGCTGTCTCCAGTGCACTATTTCCCTGCACACCTGAACATTTGCCTACTCACGCTCCGTCATTTTCTTTGTGTCATCCTTACTCTATTATTAGTGTATCGCTTGGTTACATTTGCTATCTAGAAAATGATTAATTACTGGCTTGGTGCAATGCAGTAGCATTATTGCGTCTGTCTAAGAGGCAGCTACTTGAAATTGGATTAGACATGGCCAATCTTCTGGGTAGACTAAGAAGAAGGTAATGCGAACGGTAATGGTACGCCAGTGTCTTAGTATGTTACATCGGAAAGGACTCGGGACACAACGACAATTGTTTATTTTAGCAGCACCTAATGGCTGCACCCGAGACATACGATGCCGGTTGTGACCACATAGCTTTTGGCCACAGCAGGATACACGGCGGTATGTACAAACGGATGAGTACTTGGATGACAGCCATGCTACGTCTTGGACATTTGCAAAATAGTGCGAACACTGTTTAGAAAGCCGCATGTTTGACAGTGAGCAGCGGGACTTAGTTGATGTAGAATGGCGGTAGTTGTCTCTCCAATGAGGCCGTAAGCGGCGAAAATGTCGTATTGACACCTGTCAATGCTTAAGGTTGCGCAACAATCGCACCTCGGGCAGCAGATGATCGGACCGATCGGCGACACGGAGTGACTGAAGTGAACACCCAATCGCATTCGCACGCTGTGCGATCTCCCACATCAGCTACGCAAACCAGACTGTACATATAGGAGGCGACACTTAATCACACACTATTTTACTGTACCACTTGTTTATTAATCATTCTACCTGGTAACCGTACTGATGGCAATTGCGTCCCTATTCCTATATCGGTTTCGTTCAAATATGGATGCCCAAGATTTAAGGCTGTCACGTCTAAATGTTAAAGAAAACACCAACAGTTCGTCGTGGATACTTATTCTCATGCCTGTGCAATTGATTGTTAGCCTGACCTCCAAACGATACCCATACACGTTGGTAGTACTATTGTTCATGAGGTTTAATGTGTCTCTATCCAGTTTGTGGCAGTTCATATTTAAGTCTGCACAAGCGCATGTGCATATGTTGTATTCGAACTGCCATTGGACACGGATGACGTCAATCCATGTATATATGTATACCGAATGAATTCGACGAGGATACTCATACCGCTTTTGTACGGCCAACTTAGTGCAGGGAAGCGGCACTGGGGCAAACCGAAAATAACATTACCAGGACATGAAGAAGGTGAGTTTATCACGAACTAATGTTGATTTCACGTTGTGAATCAAGGGCAAGTTGATCGGTGTGAATTCATTGGGCTGATCAAGAGGGCGGTTGCCCAGGTGCATGAGAAGGCACTGTTGCGGTGGAGGAGAAGCGCGATGCGTCCGCTCCATTCGATTTACTAATCCAGACCAATAAGACGGCGTATATGGTACGTTTGCCTGCGTGATGAGTATTCTTGCATTTCAGAAGTAGATGTTTGAGTTTCCCAGTGTGGCATCGCTTGATGTGAATGTTGACAAGGCGCTTATCTGTCTAGAACCCACTATCTCGTATATACTGGCTCCAGGAGACAGTTAGTCGTTGTTTGAAGGGACCGGGTGCACCGCCCTCGTGACGGTGCTAGGTTCAAAGCGTGGTTCCATTTTGTGTGAAACGGGCTACGACCCGACCCCCGCCTTGTGTACATTTGGTGTGCATGATTTCCCAATTAGGCTGGAATGCTTCTGTTCTGCTTGTTAGAGGGGTGTGGTCCTGCTCCGTTGAGGAAATCTGGCTCCCATCTGCATGCCTCCCCGTGTAAATCTTTCGCGTTTACACCGGATATGGGTATGTGGGTGGAGCAGCGCAAGCCACCCCCGTCCCTCTTTAGATGCAGGCGTCCTGTGGCTGTCAACGTGGAGGCCACAGACAGGCAAATCCAGATGCAGATGCTGCCAATCCATATGTTTATACCTTTGCCCCATGCTGAGGTTGATGTTGCATACACCATGCTTCTTCACCGCAGTT